TATTATTATTTTTCTTTATCATATTTTTTACCTCTGATTTATGCTTCATTTCTTAATTACCTTTTTCTCAAGTGTCATCATCTTTTTGTTACTTTATTTTCTCTAATTGCAATGATAGTTCATTTGGGATAACATAATACACAAATTTCCTTATAACTTATACAAGTATTAGTTACGTTGATTTTTAAATTGTAAAACAAATTGTGTATTAATTTCAGACATGAATTGCTAGCTAGTAAACGTTGTATAACTTAGCAAAATTAAAACTATTTTCAATTAACTAACAATGACATGGATGAACATTTTTTCAAATGAAAATGACATAGATGAACTAATTCTCTAAACGGATGGAATAGATTATGAGTTTTTTTCTCAAAGTTCAATGACATAGTTAGTCTTTTCCCTTTAAAGAAAGAAGAGTTAATGATAGTTGGTAATAGTTCAGATAGAAAACACAAACACATGATAGTTTATGTATGAATCTTACCCAAAAAAAAAAAACTTGGTGTGTTCTTGATCATTATCGCTTCTCACTTGGGAGATAAGAAGTACCAAATTAAATAAGATATTTAAAAGGTATTTGACTAAGCTTATAGGCTCATTAAACTAACTTATAAACAATATTTTTAACTTAATTACGTACATATTTAGTAAACATTCAAAGTACTTATAAACAACTAAAACCAGTCAAAAGTCATAAGTTAATTATCTCTAACTTATTGATTTTTAGGTTATGGACACTTTTGATTTGACCCAGTCTCTTACTATTTTGTCCTTCATTTTTTTAAAATTCTCAAAAATACTTTTTCCAATATAAGTCTCGTAACTTCCTCTTCACTAAGATATACAGTGTTCCTCTTTTTCTTTACAAGGTCACATTTAGATTTATACTTTTTTAAAAACAAATTATGGTTATTTTAATAAAAGAACAACTTACCAATACATTATTTACCAAATACATAAATCTTTATTATAAGTTTCAACTCTTTTATCCGAACACGTAATCACACCATTTTTTAGGCATAATACATAAATGTGTTTTTTAACTTGGCCTCAACGGGCATCTACACGCTTCAATTTTGAATGTGCACAAGTACACACTTAAACTAATATAACATTGAACAAGTAGACACATGTGTCCTATGTGGCATAATACACGTAGGATTTTTAAGACACTGATAAAGCAATTAGTACATGAATGTGCAGCTTACTGCATGATTTGTTGCCCGCAACATGTTCGACGTTTTGCCTCAATGAATTTCTGCAAATTGTTTTGTGTTTTCTACCAAGTCTTAACTGCTCAACAATGTACGATTTTGAGTCATGGATTCAGTCATTGATGTTTGTGTCGGTCGAGTAGTTTGCCTGCATTACAAATTACAACCTTGGATGAGACCCTTCTTCATATATAGCTTCCATGAATGCATTTTTTGTCATTGCTCGTTTTGTTTGTTGTCTTGATGTCTTAGTGTTTCCCATGTAAAACCTTTACTATATTACTTGCCTATTTGTATTCATATAGTTAATTCCTCTAACAATTTACAGAAATATCATTCTGCTTCGAGATTTTCAAGAGGATCAATTTAGTTTTAGTTTTTAAGAGAAAACAGTGTCATTTATAGCAACCAACTAGCATTTCTGAAAACAGAATCATGCACAAATCAAGTGCTAAAACAAAACAAAAAAAGTTATCAATTCGGAACAAGAGATTCACAGAACATGCTCAGCATGCAAGAAGTTGAATCTTGATCTTCTGTAGCATTCCTACAACATCTTTCATGTTTTGTCCTTCTTGTCGGAGATTCAGCACAACAATCTAATGCTACTTTCATGATTGATGCCACGATATCTAACTCCTTCTGTAAGCGATTATCCATTGGTGTAACCAAGTTGGCATCCATAACGTCCATCACTGCCTCTGGGAGTGAATAACTCACCCATTGCTTCAAGCTAAGATCTCCCTTAAACTCACTAGGCTTTCTCCTAGTAAACGTTTCCAGCAGCATGATCTCGTAACTAAAGACATCACATATTATTGACACCAATCCATCCAGTCCATACTCTACAGTCAAACAATTAGTTTAAATATGCAATATACTTTCTTGATTGGAAAAAAGAGAGACGAAAAATCAATGTTCAAATTAGCAAAAACAAAGAGACGTACCCGGTGCAATATAACCAAATGTTGACTAAGCTTATAGGCTCGTTAAACTAACTTAGAAATAATTTTTAAGCTATGTACTTGTTTAGTAAACATTCAAAGTACTTATAAACTAAAATAAACAAAAGTCATAAGTTGGTCATCCATAACTTATTAATTTTTAGCTTATGAACACTTTTGATTTGATCAAGTCTTTTACTATTTTGTCTTTCATTTTTAAAAATTCTAAAAAAAAATCCAATATAAAATTCGTAACTTCCTCTTCACTAAGTATATATCGTTCCTCTATTTCTTTACAAGGACACTTTCAGATTTCTATATTTACTTTTTTTTTTTTAAAAAAAAAGGAAGGTTATTCTGGTCATTTTAATAAAAGAACAACTTAACCTTTACAACTTTTTCCAAATATATATTTCTTTATTATCAGTTTCAACACTTCTTTTCGAGTAGTAATCACACTTTTTTTATAATTATGATATCAGGGACAACTCTCACACACCTCGATTAATTTCAAGAAATAAAATGTCATCTACCACCAATGACAACCGACCACAAGTACAAGTTAATTTTGTCCACCAATACACATGTACCATTTTTTATAATTTTACTTTCTTTTATTTCTTAATGAATCTTTTCTACTAGTGACATTCCACATTATTTATGTCCTCTCCACCCTCCTAAATAAGTGTCATATTAGTTTTGAAAAATTGGCATAATACATAAAAGTGTCATTTAACTTGGCCTCAGTTGGTATTTGTAGCCTCCAACTTTTGATGTGCACAAGTAGGTACTTAAACTTGTATAAAATTGAACAAGTAGCTAGACACACATGTCATACGTGGCATAATACACGCAGAACGCTATGTAGGACTGCAAATTGTCATGTAGGACGCCACGTAGGACGTGTGTGTCTATTTTTTTTTTATTATATACAAGTTTAAGTACCTACTTGTACACTGAATGACATAGATTGATGCCCGTTGAAGCCAAGTTAAAGGGCATTTTTATGTATTATGCCAAAAAGAATCATCCCAAAATAAGTGTTATTTTAGAAATTCATTACAAAAATTAATATATTGTTTCAATTATACCCTTACATTTCATCTTCTTAATAGCGTTTAATTTTATAGAGACATTTATTAAATATGGATAGTTTAGTAAACTACGTACAAATTGTATTTACTGATTTTATAATTTAATGGACATGATTTTTGCTAAGATAACACTTATTGAAACTGTTGCCTCCCAAATCAAGAGAAATAAGAAATGTGAGGTTTCCGAAATCGCAGAGAATCGTGCATGAAAGAGTGCATGTTGGAAAAATTCAAGGACTTCACTCGCTGATTTGAGATTTCAAAGAAAAAAGAGTTAATTGATCCGTAGAAAATGGTCATTTTAGTACTAAATTTGAACTTAAAAGAACAATAATTTGACTTGTTAAGATGTTGGGCAACACACTTTAAATATTTAGTTAACCTTTTAACAATTATTTATATAAAAGAGTTGATTTTCTTTTTACTTGTTTCAGAGATTATTTTGTTTATTTTATTTTTTTAATAAGAGAGTACTTAATTTGTATTGGCTGTTATTGTTTTAGGAAAAAATTCCAAGTTACGTGGGTCCTAAAGATTTGACAAACTGAAGAAGACCAAAATCAACCAAGTCTAGCAAACGTAAATGTGGGGGCAAAGATATACATCTAATTAACTGGTTCAAAAGATGCTTAAAGTTATATTTAAAGGGCATAATATATAAACATGACTCTTAACTTGACTTCAGTTGATAACTATGCCCTTTAACTTTGGGTGTGCACAACTAGCCACTTAAACTTGTATAAAATTGAACAAGTAGCTAGACACACATGTCATACGTGGCATAATACACGTAGGACGCTATGTAGGACTGGTAGGATGCCACGTAGGACGTGTGTCTACTTTTTTAATTATATATAAGTTTAAGTACCTACTTGTACACTGAATGACATAGATTGATGCCCGTTGAAGCCAAGTTAAAGGGCATTTTTATGTATTATGCCAAAAAGAATCATCCCAAAATAAGTGTTATTTTAGAAATTCATTACAAAAATTAATATATTGTTTCAATTATACCCTTACATTTCATCTTCTTAATAGCGTTTAATTTTACAGAAACAATTATTAAATATGGATAGTTTAGTAAACTACGTACACATTGTATTTATTGATTTTATAATTTAATGGACGTGATTTTTGCTAAGATAACACTTATTGAAACTGTTGCCTCCCAAATCAAGAGAAATAAGAACTGTGAGGTTTCCGAAATCGCAGAGAATCGTGCATGAAAGAGTGCATGTTGAAAAAATTCAAGGACTTCACTCGCTGATTTGAGATTTCAAAGAAAAAAGAGTTAATTGATCCGTAGAAAATGGTCATTTTAGTACAAAATTTGTACTTAAAGAACAATAATTTGACTTGTTAAGATGTTGGGCAACACACTTTAAATATTTAGTTAACCTTTTAACAATTATTTATATAAAAGAGTTGATTTTCTTTTTACTTGTTTCAGAGATTATTTTGTTTATTTTATTTTTTTAATAAGAGAGTACTTAATTTGTATTGGCTGTTATTGTTTTAGGAAAAATTTCCAAGTTACGTGGGTCCTAAAGATTTGACAAACTGAAGAAGACCAAAATCAACCAAGTCTAGCAAACGTAAATGTGGGGGCAAAGATATACATCTAATTAACTGGTTCAAAAGATGCTTAAAGTTATATTTAAAGGGCATAATATATAAACATGACTCTTAACTTGACTTCAGTTGATAACTATGCCCTTTAACTTTGGGTGTGCACAACTAGTATGCTCCTAATGGAACTCTTTTCGAGCATCTTCATGGTAATTAAAACTTTCTAGCAGTGCTATGTTTCACTTTAATCATTCATGATGGTGTTTTTGGATTTATTACTGAATAACACGAACTACAACTTTTTCAATGATCCAGTTGAAGAAGCTGATCATCTGGACTGGCCTGCGAGGATGAGAACCGTTATGGGTACAATGTATTGTCTTCAATACATGCATGAATTAAACCCCTCAGTGCCACATTGCAACTTGAATTCTAAATCCATATATTTGACCGATGATTATGCGGCTAAGGTCTGTTACACATGACTATATATCCCAAAATATGTCAACAAGAAACTTTTACTGACGGCTGAGTACTTTTTTTTAACAGATTACAGAGATTGATTTCTGGTCAGAACTAACAGCCAAGTCGAAGTCCTCTAGCGATGATTTAGAGAATTCCGTGCTGCCACCGCTTGCTGATCCCGAGACTAATGTCTATAGCCTTGGGATTCTTTTAATAGAAATAATTTCTGGCAAATCACCTTATTCAGAAGAAAAACAGTCTCTTCTAAACTGGGTAAATAAATATCCTTTATCCTTATTTTCATATGTATTGAACTTAATGTTCTGATCCCTAGGGTGCAATTGTTGTGTCTGGCTAGATCCAGAGGCGGATCTAGAGATGGTCTAAGGGGTTCATCTGAATCCATTGTTGTCGTCTCGAATCTTGATCCATAAGTACTACGCAAAAAAACTTCATGCTTGTGTGTGTGTGTGTTAATTAGGTTTATTCTGAATCTATCAGCAAATATTGCTTCCATCTCGAACCAAAAGTACATATGCCAAAAACCTATATGTTTCTCGGACTCTTAGTGCATTTTTTGGAGGATCTGACAGGGTGTGTCAATATTTTTGGAAAATCCGAGCAACATAGCCGGAAACTGTATGCTTGTGTGTGTCTATTAATTAGGCTCAAGTTGTACCCATTGACAGGAAATTGCTTTCATCTTGAACCATAAGTACATATTCCAAATACCTATATTGCTCGAGACTCATAAATATGTTGTCAGGTGCATGTCGGATCCTTCAAAAGTAATGCATTTTTGGAGGATCTGGCACGGATGCGTCAATATTTTTAGAGAGTCTGAGCTACATTGCCAGAAGGTTTATGCTTGTGTGCATGTATTAATTAGGTTCATTCTGTACCTACTGACAGAAAATTGCATTCATTTCAAACCATAAGCACATATGCCAAAAATCTATGTTGCTCAGACTCCTAAAAAATGCTACTAGGTGCGTGTCGGATCCTCCAAAAGTAGTGCATTTTTGGAGGATTTAGCACGGGTGCGTCTATATTTTTAGAGTCAGTAACATAGCTGAAAACTTTGTGCTTGTGTGCGTGTATTAATTAGGCTCATTTTGCACCCACAGAGAGGCTACTGCTTTCATCTCGAACCATAAGTACATATACCAGAAACCTATGTTGGTCGGACTCTTCAACTATGCCACGTGGTGCGTGTCGGATTCTCCAAAAGTAGTGCATTTTTGGAGGATTTAGCACGGGTGCGTCTATATTTTTAGAGAGTCAGTAACATAGCTGAAAACTTTGTGCTTGTGTGCGTGTATTAATTAGGCTCATTTTGCACCCACAGAGAGGCTACTGGTATAAATTAGGCTCATTTTGAACTCGCTGACAATGAATCCTAAATTTGCCTCTGGATAGAACTGATCCGTCCAACTTCTTTACACAATTTATAAACATCATAACCATGGCTGTTTTCAGGCGGCACAATATTTTCGTCACGACAAGCAGAATATCGCCTCACTGGTTGATCCATCATTGAAGTCTTTCAAGAATAATGAGCTTATGGTTATTTGTGAAGTAATTGAACAGTGCCTTCAAGAAGATCCAAGGAAGAGACCAACTATCAAAGAATCCATTGATAAATTAAGGAATTTTTGACCAAAATACCAAAATAAGCCATTATTTAAATCAATTCACCAAAATATTATGTTTTTAAATTTTTTTACGAAACTAGTATAAACGTAGTCCACAATAACGTTTTATGTTTTATTTTATTTTAAAAAAATTAATGAGAAAAAGACGGACTGCTAACGGCGTTAAATAATAATACATAACTGGAAATCACGTTTTAAATCTAATACGTTATTGGGAATAACGTTTTAAGCATATATCTTTTAATCCTATACTAGAATAAAAACCCCCAATTTAGTTGTGTACTAATTGCAGAAGAAAAATGGGGAGATTCACAGAAGACCCAAAAAAACCGTCTTCTTTCTCCTAACCCACGTCCTTCAGGTTGCAATTAGGGCGATCAAATAAAAACCCATCTTCTTGATCTTACAGAATTGACGCTTAATCTTTACTCGATTTGAAACCCTGTAAAAACTAAAAAAAGACCAGTGTAAAAATTTCCTTCGTTGTATTTCTGAATGAATTATCTATACAATTGTCTATGTATTTATACAAGTAATGAAGAATCTTTCTTGTAACAAACTATATAGGTGTCTAACTCTAATTTGCTAGCCTACTAACAAACTAATGAAATAGAGGCTTTGTATTTACAAATTTGGGCTTTCTCTGGTATGTACATGAAAATAGGCCCAAAAGAAAAAACAGACTGCATAAGCCCAAAAAAAACGTGAAGCCCAGAGAAACAGACAGCCTTCGAACATTTCCCTTTGTCTTCTCCACTTTGTCTTCTTCATGCCTTAAATCAGCTAAGACATCTTCAAGACTCGATCATATCATTCCAACACCCCCCCTCAAGTTGGAGGGGTGGAAGAAACTCCCAACTTGTGTAAAAGAGAATGATGGACAGGTCCAATAAGGGATTTGGTAAATAAGTCAGCCAACTGGGAGGCGGAAGGAACATAGGACAAGGAGATAAGACCGGCGAGGTACTGTTGACGGACGAAATGGCAGTCAATCTCGACATGCTTCGTCCGTTCATGAAAGATGGGATTTTTTGCAATATGGATAGCGGCAAGGCTATCGGAATGAAGTGGCACCGGCAAGGAAATGGGAATGGAAAGATCTTCAAACAAACAAACCAACCAGGTAAGCTCAGAAACAACCCTTCTCATGGATCTATACTCAGCTTCCGCAAAACTTAGGGAAATGGAAGTCTATTTCTTAGATTTCCAAGAAATGGGGGAAGACCCCAGTGAAATGTAGTATCCACTTACTGAATTTCGTGAATCTGGACAGGTACCCCAGTCAGAGTCACAAAAAGCGAGCAACTTGAAAGAAGAAGAGGCAGACATAAACAATCCAAGGCCTGAATCTTTAAGTAAGTAACGAAGAACCCTTAAAGCAGCAAACAAATGGGGTTCACGAGGGTCCTGCATAAATTGACTGAGATGCTGGACTGTGAAGGAGAGATCAGGCCTCGTATGAGTGAGGTAATTCAATTTACCTAATAAATGTAGATACAAAGTAGGATCTTTGATAGTAGCACCTGTATTTGCCATCAATTTGACAGTAGGATCCAGAGGGGATGAAACAGGAGATAAGTGCAATGAATCAAACTCTTGGAGAAGATCCAGAGTGAACTTCTGTTGTGATATAATCAGACCCTGAGGTTCCCTAATAACCTCCATACCAAGAAAAAAATGTAGATTGCCAAGATCTTTGATTTTAAATTCTTGGTCTAAAAATATTTTTAAAGAAAGTAACTCAGCTTCATTGTTGCCTGTCAATAAGATATCATCCACATACACAGCCACAATGGAAATAGAGGTACCAGATTTCTTAAAGAAAAGAGAATAGTCATTTAGGGAATGACTAAAACCTTTAAAATTAAGAGTTGAGGTTAGTTTAGCATACCATTGTCTAGATGCTTGCTTAAGTCCATAAATGGACTTCTTCAACAAATAAACATGATGCTGAGAGGGAGGAGTAAGACCAGCAGGGAACTTCATATAAACTTCCTCATTTAAATTCCCATGTAGAAAAGCATTATTCACATCCAATTGAAAAATACCCCATCCTTTTTTGAGAGCAACAACCAAAATGCATCTAATAGTAGTCATTTTTACCACAGGAGAGAAAGTCTCATTGTAATTAACACCTTCCCTTTGAATATCACCCCTAATGACCAATCGTGCCTTTAATCTTTCAATACTCCCATTAGAATGATGTTTCACCTTATAAACCCATTTGGATGGGAGAGCTTTCTTTCCAGCAGGCAAAATAACAACATCCCATGTGTTGTTTAACCTTAAAGCCTCTAATTCTTTATCCATTGCCTCCTGCCATCCAGGGTGATGTGCTGCATGAATATAGCTGATAGGTTTTTGTATACTAGAAATAGAGTTAAGCAAGACTTGATTGATAGTAGACAAACCACTAAAAGATAAGGACTCTAGTGTAATTGGACTAAGAAAACAAGCAGCAGAAACATTTGTAAGATGAAGAGCACTACATATATAATCTTCTAAATAACCAGGAGCCTTGTGATGTCTAGATGACTTCCTAATTACAGTTTGTAGAACAGGTTCTGATTCAGCAGAATAAGATGGGAGAGAACCATGAGTAGGATCAGTCATAGAAGTAGGGTCAATAGATGTGTATTCAGCATTCTGGGAATGTGAAGAAACAGGAGTAGAAGGCATCTCATGATCACAAGGAGTGGGAATGTCACAAGAAGTTGATGTGACATGAGTGAGTTCAGAAGAGATAATAGGAAATTCTGAAGATAAGTCAGTGGACAAAGAGGTGGTAGAAGGAAATAAATTAGAATCAGATTTTGAGTAAGGGAAATATTCTTCATGAAATATAACATCCCTTGAAACTGAGATTTTCTTGGTTTTTTAATTTAAAACTTTATATCCCTTTTTGCCATAAGGATAACCTATAAAAACACAAGGTACAGCTTTAGGGTCAAATTTGGTTCTGTGAGTAGGGAGAGTGGTAACAAAACATAAACAACCAAAACATTTGAGATGAGAGTAAGTAGGACTGGTTTTAAACAAAATTTCATAAGGAGTTTTAGAATACAGAACAGAGGAAGGGAATCTGTTAATGAGATAAGTGGCAGTCAGCAAACATTCCCCCCAATAAGAAATAGGAAGATGGGATTGATATAAAAGGGCTCTAGATGTTTCTAGTAAGTGTTTATGTTTCCTCTCTACTATGCCATTTTGTTGTGGAGTGTATACACAAGTGGTTTGATGTATAATACCCTTGGAAAGAAAAAAATCTATATGAAGTTTCCCATTTCCTAACTCAAAAGCATTATCAGTCCGGATGACTTTCACTTTGGAATTGAATTGTCTCTTAACCATGGAAAGAAAAGTTTTAAGAATAGGAAAAGCATTAGACTTAGTACTTAAAAGATGAGTCCAAGTGGCTCTACTAAAATCATCAACGATTGTGAGAAAGTTTCTAAAACCATCATGTGTAATAGAATTGTAAGGCCCCCAAGTATCCACATGAATCAAGTCAAAAACAGCTTTAGTAGTGATATTACTAGTGGAAAAAGGCAATTTAGATTGTCTTGCCATGGGACAGATAATGCAAGGAGAAGAAAATTTAGAACAAGGTATAGAAACTGGAAAATTTTTCTTCATATTACTCAAAGGCATATGGCCTAACCTGTAGTGCCATAGCTTTTCTTTTACATTAGAATCAAAAAAACTAGAACAGGAAGTAAAAACATTTGCTGCTGAAACTGGGAAACTAGTACTAG